TCTTATCTGGTCTGGCCTACCTGTGACTGAGACTTCACTAGCCTAGCAGGCTTCTCAGTCCAGGACAATTATGGGAAATAAATACCGGGCTTGGCAACAACATCCTCATCTTATGAAAGTAAAAATAAAAGTCTGCATTGGCTGAGAGGAAATTATTTTAAAAATTTATTCATGGAATGTAGGTGTCGCTGGCTAGGCCAGCATTTATTAACTATCACTAATTGCCCTTGAGAAAGTGGCATCTTGAACTGCTGCAGTAAGTGAATGGAACAAGGTCTTGATGGGGATGCTGCAAGAAGTTAGTATCGATTCATTGAAATAGAAATCGGACAGATTTTTTTTTCAGAAAGTAGCATTTTGGAGTTGATATCTTGAAACATGACTTGTGTTGAGTGCAGAGTTGATTGTTCAAAAGAGAGGCCCTGGGTCAGACTGCAGCCTGTGGTGTCTCTCTATTCCACATTGTCTCAGTGTTCAAACACGAGTAATGTGGAAGGGACAGATTCTATAAAGACCTGCTCCTTCAATCACAGGACATTTCTCTCTGTAGTTTCCTGTAAATATGGGAGAGAAATATTGGCCCTTCAGCCCATCAAGTCGGTCAAAACTACACGAAATCTACACTTTCCCACACATAACCTTGAATGTCATGACATTTCAAGTGCTCATCCAAGTACTTTTTAAAGGTTATGAGGTTTCCTGCCTCGACCACCCTCCCAGGCAGCGTCCTCTGGATGAAAAATATTTTTTTCCACAAATCTCCTCTCACTCTCCTACCCTTCACTTTAAAAATGTTACTGACCCTTCAACTAAGGGGAACAGCTACTTTCTATTCACCCTGTCCATCATAATCTTACACACCTCTTTCAGATCACCCCTCAACCTTCTCTGCGCCACAGAAAACAACGCAAGCTCATTCAGCCTCTCTTCAGAGCTAAGCTGTTCCACCCCAGACAGCGTCCTGGTGAATCTCATCTGCACCTGCTCCAGCGCAATCACATCCTTCCTATAGTGCAGTGACCAGAACTGCACACAGTACTCCAGCTGTGGCCGAACCTTTACAGTTCCAACATGACCTCGCTGCTCTTAAAATCCATACATGACAGATAAAGGCAACTGTCCCTTATGCCTTTGTAACTACCCTACTGACCTGCCCTGTCACCTTCAGGGATCTGTGGATAAGCTCCCCACATCTACCTATTTCTCTGATCTTCCCAGTGGCCTGCCATTCATTGAGTGCCCCCTTGTCTTCTTAATTCTTTCAAAGTGCATCACCTCATGGTGATTAGGGTTAAACTCCATCTGACACTGATCCGCCCATCTGACCAATCCATTTATATCCTTGTGTAACCTGACACCTTCCTCCTCACTGTCATCCACACAGCCAATCCGCAAACTTACTTAAAATCACCCCCCACATTCTCATCTACATCATTGATGAATATCACAAACAGTAAGGAACCCAGCACTGATCCCTGTGGTATATCACTGCACACCGGGCTCCAGTCACACAAATAGCCTTCTACCATCACCCTCTGTCTCCCTTCACTGAGCTAATTTTAGATCTAACTTGCCAAATTACCATGGATTCCATGTGTTTTTACCTTCTTTATCAGTGTCTCATGTGGGACCTTGTCAAAGGCTTTGCTGAAATCCATACAAACGTCATCAACTGCCCTACCCTCAGCTACACACCTGGTCACCCCTTGAAAAGTTCAACAAGTTTTTTTAGGCTTCTCTCTGACAAAGTTATGCTGACAATCCCTGATTAAGCCTTGGAGATAGTAGGAACTGCTGATGCTGGAGTCTGAGATAACACAGTGTGGAGCTGGAGGAACACAGCAGGCCAGGCAGCATCAGAGGAGCAGGAAAGTCGATGTTTCAGGTCAGGACTCT